TTTAAAACTTTTTTTTTACAATAGTCAAGGTTAGTATTGTTTAAGTCTTACTTCGTTTGATGGTAAAAGTGGTAATTCGTTTGGTGGTAAAAGTGTTTCATTAAAATGGGCAAGGTAAGAAATTATAACGAACAAAGTAAAAGAGAATTTCATTCTTAAGAACTTAGATTATAAATTGCAAATAAATGACGAAAGATAAATGGTTTTGTCTGAAACTCAAATCAGTTAAACATAAGAACAACTCGAAAAACATAATATCACTTTATAATGTATAAAATGTTTAGAGGAACAAAAGTAAAAATTGTGTTTGATCATAGGAGTATCAAAGAAAGTAAATGGAAAAATCTAACATAACCACTAAAATTGATCCAGACACTTTTTTTTTATTTATCACCTTCATCAAATATTTTTCCCTGCTGCTTCCAAAAAATTCTATTCCAAAACCCAATTTTTTTTCTTAATGTTGAAAAACACTCTTTTTCACTTACCAGTCCTATTTTTATGAATTCAGATCGATGCTCGATATATCTGAAGATTTTAGAAACTAATTTTAGATAGTAACATAGAGAAACTTTAAAGGCGTTCCTTCTTGAATTTTAATAAATAGTTCAGAGAAAGTTTAAAGTAGATATTTGCGAAGCTGTTGGTTGTTTCTTTCTAATTTAGAGTAATTGAATTAATTCAACCTCTTTCAAAAATGATTTTATATGTAAGTTATGAAAATGCATTTTTCTAAAAAGTGTTTATTTATACTCATGAATTTTTCTGCATTGCTTAAAAAGATTCTTAAGTAGATATTTGAGAATTAAATTGTAAGTTTTTTGATAATTTAATGTAATTAAATTAACTCAACATCGATAGAAATTATTTTAAGCAATGAAATGATAAAAATATATTTTTCTGAAAAAAAGCAATTATTTATATAAAAAATAATTATTTTACTTTTTCTGAAGAATATACTTTGCTCATAAATATTAATGTAAAATACCTACGTTTTTAAAATTGTTACCTGTCAGAACAATCAGAAGCCTTTACGTAAGATGGATTTATCATGCTCATGATTTAACTTTGAGATACGATTTAATTTTATATTTTATTTTCAGATCTTAAGTATTTTATAAAATAATGATTCTGATGACTAGTAATTTAATCAACCCAGCATGTTTCATTGATTATTTTATGCAGTAAAGATATGAAAACGATTTTTATTAAAGAAAATTTACTTACGAAATTTTTACTTATAGTAAGTTATTCTCGAAAAATATTTTTATTTATAAGTATTTATATAGAATATATAAAGCTTGTATAAAAGAAAAACGGACTCCATCAACCCACCAGATAACAACCGAAAAATAATAGCTTCAGTAGCGCCACAACTCAGGATAATGAAAGGACGTAGGAAGAGTGCTCCGTTGATTATGTGCAATTGATTAACCGGTTCACATGAGAGTATTTAATGTGAATGTTAAATTTATGAAGAAGGGTAAAGGACATCCAGAACAACAGTTAAACGCAGTGTACTACAGGGTCTGTTTACAACGTTCTTTTATTCCTTTACTGTCTCTTGCAGACGAAGTGCTGCACAGATATCACGAGTCGTAGCACTTTTAGTATTACTGAACTTATACTGATACAATTTATTGTTATAATTTATACTGAATTCTTAATTCAAAACAGTTAATTTCTTCACGTTTTGCGCATTTTACAATTTCAATGGCGTTGCTTTTTAAAATTTATCTTGAAGCAAAATTATCGTTCCAAGTCTTTTTATATAATGGATTAAGACATTTAAAACTTCAGATGTAGGAATGGTGTAAAAATACATGCATATTAAAATTAAATTTTTTTATCCGTTAATTAATTGAGTAATGAAGAAATAAATAATAAAGAAATCGTTCAATCAATTTTGCAATTGTGTGCAAAAAATTTGTAATTTGCTTAAAGCGTTCAAATAATGTATTAAATATGCAAAAGGTGGAATTATCATTATCGGATTCCGAATTTTAACCACTTTATTGATAAAAGTTTTGGGGCCATATTATTCAGATTACAGTTCATATTTTTGAAGGTCAAGAATCAATTCCGTTGAGTAAATAAATCTTATTTCTTTGCAAAGTTTTGAGACTTATTTACTAATTGAAAATATTTTTGCCACTAGTTAGTTAACATGTTTAAGAGACCCTTGGGCCATTAAAACTTGCATCATGTTGCATTAAAACTGCACCTGATACATGATAATCTGAAATTTATTAAAGTGTTTTGGTTTTACTTTATTTTACACATTCAACGTCATTCAAGGAGTATTTACACAATTTGATCATAACTTTTTATTATATACAGTGGTCGAGGTTGATAGTTACTGAAGATCATTTAAAATCTGACCGTTGCTTCAAATATGCCTACTGCGCATTGTTTTGCTCTAGCAGCATACATGTTTCATTCATTTCACTATTTCTTTCATTTCGAATGATGCCATGCGAATTGGATAATCAGTTATACTCAGCTTGTGGTTGACTTCTCGCATCTAAATTTATAATACTGAAGGATGATGTTGTTTCCGTTGTTGTATTTCTGACGTTATAACGCATGTTCAAGTTTGATTATAACTAATACTTACAATAAAATAATTGTAAAGAAGAAAAATGCGTAAGAATTTGTGCAAGTATGGTTCATATTATCAACAATTTAGTTCATGCTATTATTTAAACTTATGCTTAGTCTTAAAAAATAAATAAATTTGAGCATTTATTTATCATTAAACATTTTAGGAATGCCGATGTCGTGTATCTTTATTTTTAATGTAAATCATTCACCAATATATTTTCGGTGCCCTGATTTTCAAATTATTTTTGACTATATTTGAGGTGTTGATTTCCAAAGGTAAATAAGTTTTTTTTTCTGTCAGCTCTTTGTAACTAAGTACGAATTAAGCGTAGTAAATTAGCGAACGATGTATTTTCATAATTCCAAGAAAACAATATAATTTTAACTTAATTTTTAATTGATTTTAAATATATTTCGGAAAGTTGATTTCATTTTTTTCACTATAAATGTTATTTTTAACCCTTCTTTTAGCAAAACAAAAATTAGTATATTTTTAATTGGATTTAGTGTAACCATGTTTAAAATTTTAAAATTAGAAATATGTTAAAAATTGTTTCAATACTTGATTGAGCACACCAAATACTGTCAAAAAGCGATGATTTAGTAACAACGTAATAACTAATACTAGTAAAAACTACTTCATTTAAATATGAATTTCTATGAGTGCTTAAGCAAAATCAGGACATGACAGATTTATTTTGGACCTAAATTTAAAACTAAAATTGTCAGGCGCCTTTTCCGAGAAGTAAATAATGTTTTTAATTATGTATTGTTTTAACTAATACTTTTTAACCGTTCTCTATGTCTAATATCTATCGTTAGATCCCACCAGTTGTAGATAAGTTTCTAGTAGTAAATGAGATTTGGAATCTCTTAACCAAATCTTAAATTTTTTTTTTATAGACGATATAGATTTTTTTTTATAACTTAACGAAATAACATTGCACACAATTTTAGCATACATAATTTAGAAGATTTTACTATAAATTTAAAAAATTAAATCAGCTTTATACTTAAATATAAAAAATGACAAAAGTATAGTACTAAAGTTAAACAAGGGTAAAACAACTGGCTTGAAAAAGTTTATATTTACAAGTAATAGGTTGTCATAATTTATGTTTTGTCTAGTTTTAAGTGATGTCTTGTTCTAACTTTTTTGCTAATTGGAACTAAGGTTAGCTGTAACAAGTAGTAATCAAGCAAAAAAAGCATTTCAAAACAGTTCATTCAACTTAAAAAACTTATAGCACATCGAAATCAAAAATCAATGAGTTACTTAGTTTCAGTATTGTAACCTAAATGTCACATTCAGTGATTTGCTTTTATAAACTCATTTTTGCTTCATATGCTTCCATCTTGAATAATGAGGATGCAAAATAGGTGATTGTTCAACGATCAAATCTAGAATTCAAAATATTAAGTTTTTATAAAATACTATTTTAAAACCACTTTAGAAAAAAAGTTATTTATTAGTGTACTTTTAACATCAATTTCATGATTGATATTATTTAAGAGAATGGTACATAGTATTTAATAGAAAGTAAAATTAAAATGGAAGACAAATGCCTAGATCATATTTCTATGTACTTGATCTGGCTATTGGATAAATTTGTTACCATGGTTTTTCGAATTTAAAACTAATTGTTCAAAAACTTTTGTACTTTAACTTGGTGCTCGTTGAACCCTTTTCTGAAGAAATGAATAAGAATGACTGGAAGTCAAAATGTGGTATAAAAAAATCTAAAACCAAAAATAAATTTAGGTATGCTTCGCTCCTTATTTTTTGATAGCATATTATTGGATATGCTGGAAATAGATGGGCATTTTAAACCGATTTCCTCAGTAAATACAACATATTTTGAAAAATAAAAGCAAAAATCAAATGAACAGAATAAGTCTCTTGATTTCGTCACATAGTGTAAAAAACATGGTTAAATCGAAAACAAAAAACATGGTTCAATGAAACAGACGTATGGCAAAGAAAAAAGATTCAAGTTTCGTGAATAAAAAAAAATTCTCGCAACGAAAATATTGCTTTTTATTATATAAATTTAAGAGTGTGATTTGAGCAAAATATTTTTAAGGCTAAAATTGCATTTTTATTTTACGTCTTTTTATTTAATGCATTTTTATTACTTCTAGAAACTTTATAACTTTTTTTAACATTTTAGTTCATACTTTTTTCCCTTTTACTCAATTTCTTTCGCATAAATAAATAAATTATTCCATTTGAAAAAACTCAGAGAGACATAAAGAGATAAATAACAAATGAATATAAAAAAATATATAGACCTGAACTCACAAATAAATCCCTAAAATTGAATTCGAGCTTGAATTCCTCATTAAAAAAGCTGAAAACCTATGAAGCAAAATAAGTATCTGAGAACAAAAAAAAATCCAAAACAATGCTAAGAGAACGATCCAATATAATAAGGATGCAAAAAGTCGAAAACAAAATTCCCTCCAAATCGATAGTTGAAGAGAAAAAAAAAAAGTAGTACATTCCAAGAGACAAGAAGCTAAAATATCCTTCATAGGGGGCGCGCGATTTGATCATCCCTCCACAAACCCAATCACTCGATGGAAAACTCTAAGTTGGGCATCCACCCCATTTCTGAATCCTTTTCTTGATTCTGCGCACTCCCGGCGAACTCTTCCAGCGTTTGGAGTCAGCACATGCCTCAGATGATTCCAAGGATAGTTCACGAACAGAAACCTCAAGAAAGCTTTAATCTAGGAATGTTTTTACATGCGCAAAAAATGTATTGCTTTATTAGTGTTATCTGAAACTGATTTTTTCTTTTTTCGTTCGTAAAGACAACCATCGAAGTTAATTTGCGTTTTTAAATGTCCCTCGGTAGAAGAACTCCAATTTCAGATATACCGCTATCAGAGAATTAATATATGTTTGAATTATTGTCAACAATAAAAACTGCTTTAAATTTATGTGCATTAAATGTAATTTTTAGAATCATTTGAAAAAAAAGTGTAAATTGAGACATGGTGCAATATAAAATTTTCATGATGTTTGATCTCTGCATTTTTGGTTAACTTAAATAATTAGTCCTGAATTAAAATATAAATTTTAGATTTTTTTTATATTTAAAAGGTAAAACAATTTTTTAGTGTAAATATTCGTGAAAAAAAATCTTAAACTGAACTGTTTTCCATGCTTTCGTGATGCTTTTTACAAAGATTCAGGAGTAAAGAAAAAAATCCAAAAATATAGTTGAGTTAAAATTAGAAAAAAGCTTCGCATTATCAACTACATTAGTGTAAAAATGTTGAAAAATGAAAATAAAGTTTTAAGTATGAATATGGGATGTTTATTAAGAGCAAAATTATATTTGATAATGATGTTAACTGCTTATGCAAATGCAGCCATAACTGAAACTCAAAGACCAAGTACTCGTGTGGTTTCTACGAAATATGGATCACTAAGAGGTGTGATTGTGACACTGTCTCATAAACATTTACAACCTGTTGAGAAATTCCTCGGTGTTCCATATGCTGGGGTTCCAACAGGTTCCTTACGATTTATGCCCCCAGTGACACCCCCACATTGGAAAGGTGTTCGACCAGTTGATAAGTTAAGTCCGGTATGTCCACAAAAGCTACCAAATATATCAAACGAAACAGAAGCATTAAAAAGGATGCCTCCAGGACGATTGGACTATCTAAAAAGGTTATTACCATTTTTAACCAACCAAAGTGAAGATTGCTTGTATCTCAATATTTATGCCCCCGCAAATGGTGAGTCATTTTGAATTTAATTTTAATAATTTTGAATTAATTTTATGTGTCTGCTATTAGTATCTCAATTTGAATTTTATTTGAAAAATAATATTTGTGAGAGGAGTTTTAATTTTTTACATACACGGGGGGGGGGGGGA